CTATTACTCTATGAAATACCCCGAAATAACCCTGTATAAAAAAAAAACCAAACATAAAATAGCATGCATTATTTACTTTAAATCAAGAGAAGATTATATAAATCATATTTTTCTTTTTAATAGCTTTTTTTCAATTTGGAAGCCATTTTTCTATCTGGGAAGCCATTTTAATATTTAATCCTCTAAACACTAAAGTTTATGAAAATACAAACCATAAGAAATGAAATATGTTCAAATCTCTTTGTAACTAAAATGGCATGCAACATAGTTTATACTTTACCTCAAACAGGGGAATATTTTCAGGAATGATTAGCATATTTAATGCACTAGGGGTTTGGGCCTAACCTTAGCAGATACGTAGAAGAACCGGTTTCTAATCCCAACTCCATCATTGCACTGTGCGCCCTTGGAGAAGTCACTTGACTTCTCCAGACCTGGTTTCCCCACCTAAACAGTGAGGTTAGTGGGATTAAAATGTCGTATACCTGGTAACTGTCACCACTGCCCTCCAGGGTCTGTGGCCAGCTCACAAATAGATCAGGGCACTCTTCCTCTGAGCTTGAATTTAAACTCAGAACTATTCTCCAGATCGTGCTTCATGTGGCCACCACCAAAATGATTTGAAGTCAGTTCACCAAATGAATAATTTTTGCCTCCTGCACTAGAATTGCCCCATTAGAGCAAGATGTGACATTGCTCACCATCCAGTTCAATCCCTCATTTTGCAGATATAGAAACTAAGGCCCAGAGAGGGAAACAACATGACTGAGGGTGCACAGCTGGTTAGTGGAAGGGGAAGGTGATGTCCAGAACCCTCACCATCCAGTTCAATCCCTCATTTTGCAGATATAGAAACTAAGGCCCAGAGAGGGAAACATGACTGAGGGTGCACAGCTGGTTAGTGGAAGGGGAAGGTGATGTCCAGAACCTGAAATGATATTCCCTTCACACCTCCTAGCCAGGAAGGGATGGCACAGTCCTCAAACACATGTCTTCCAGGTCCAAGAATGTCCCTCCTCAGGCTCCCTCACAGTCACAGCGCTGAGGGAATTGATTTCAGGGGGAACAGGGGGTTTTTACCATTGAGTGACAAGGGTGGAGAGACCTAAGAAAGGTGCAATTCTTTGACTTCCTTTTCTCCAAAACTCACGGTCTTCATTCACACTGCTCCACACCTCTTCTTTATAGTCTTCAGGTTACACTGTACAAAAACAGTCTGCAGGGAGATCACCTGTGTTGAATCTTGACTCCAGCATTCACCAGCTCTGTGATGTTGGGCAAGTCACAAATCACTTAGCACTCTGTGCCTCAGTTTCCTCATCTGTAAAGTGGGAATACTAGTACTAGGTACCTCAGAATGGTTAAGGGGATGCTGTGTAATGTATATATTACATTAAAATGTACATATAGGACTTAGATCAGTGTCTGGCACTTACTAGAACTCTACAAATGTTAACTGTCAGCTGTTATAACTTTATGACCTTAAAGTTGTAGAAAATGCATTATCAGGAAAGCTATGCTCAGGGCAGCCCAGCTCCCACCTAGCAGCGTGCTGTCAGCTCACTAACTAAAAGAACTTTAAGGTCCCTCAGTCACCTCCAAAACACCATGATTTCTTGTACATTGTATGACCACAGATGTTGAGAGAGGCCCTAGGAAAAGTTCTTCGTCCATTCCATGAGACACTGGACTCAATTTTCAGGAATTTTTAGAACTTGCTTTTAGCAGGAAAAAGCCACTGAGTCCAAAGCTTCAGAGGCCTTTCCTATTGGCCCGTGTGGCTCATTTAGAGCAATGGTGATAAATGAGGGGAGGTTGTGGAAGCTGGAGAAAGTCGGCAACGTCCTGCTTTGGGTGGTGGGTGTGGGGAAGTGGTGTTGTCTGCTGCGGATTGCTAGAGGAAATGCTCCTTGCATGTGAGATACTTGTAATTAACTCAACCTAGCATGAAAAATGTTATGTATGTGAAAATGGTGTACTACCCATGTAATAGTAAATCATTAGCAGATGGTGCAGGGATGAAGATTGTTATTAATGACTTTGGGGAGAAAAAAGGTTTGTGGGAAATGTTTGATTCAGAGGGACAGCATAGTTCTCGCTCAGCTCCTGCCTATTTGTCTGGCATGGCACAGGAGGTGGATAGTACAGAGGCATGAAAAGCCAAAAAGCACAGTGTGCATAGGGACCGGCTCTGCTTTGTGCAAGCTGATGGGAACTCTCCTCCCAGAGAGGAACTCTCCTCCCTCTGCCCCTGCCATGAAGACACTGCCTCTGGGCTTCTCTCACTGGATTAGGTCCTAGGTCCATGGAGGTCTGGGGCCTCACTCCTCCCGTGCACACCTGAAGGGCATCGGGGTGTAACTGTCAGACTCGACCAGGAGCCACAATTTGGTTTAGCACAGCAATCATTTTTAGGATGCCCACTCTGTGCCAAATTCTCAACTCTCACTGGAATGTTCCAAAAATTTAACCCTGAGAAGCAACAAACAAGCCTGAGCCCTCTTCTCCTGGCAGTTTCTCAGGTACTTGAGGCTCGCATGTCCCAAGTCGAAGGGTTCTCACTCCTCCTGTGCCCTGCATGAGATCGGACAGCACAGCATGGGTTAGCTCAGTGCTAGGTGGTGCAGTGCTGGGCAGAGCAGTGGTTAAGCATGGCCTTTGAGGTCAGCCCTGGCCAGGTTTGCCTGTGACTTTGCCAATTGTTAGTGGTATGGTTTTTAGCAGATGACCCTACCTCACTGATCCTCAGTTTCTTCATCTCTAAAATGAGCAAAGTAATACTATCTATTCCCAAGTACTTTTGAGGATGAATCAAGACACATATATAAAACACTTAGCCCTCCCATGGTTGGGATGATGATGTTCCAAATCCCTTACCAGGAGGAAGGGTCTACACACCCAGGCTCTCTCTCCCCCTACACCACCCTTTCCTTTGGCACACATTCCCCCTCCAT